GACCCCCACAACCCCGCAACATCTGAGACCGTATGATATACAAGTGGAGTGATTGTGATTGACCCCTCAGACATGATGCAAAGTTCAATCTGGATTATCTGACATGTCTCCAAACCATCATCTGAAAGACGATCCAGGACTCACTCAAAGAAAATCAGAGTACATGGTCAACTCCCCAAGATCGAGGTACTCGGGGCTGTATTCCCCGCCCAAAGGAGACGGTGTCAGCGCTCTTGATCAATTGCAGCAACGAGAGAGTGGAGAGGCTGAGGACTTACAATATCTGCTGAGTCGCCGAGAAGGCCGCCGCCGCACCGTATTCCAGGTCCGCGGAAGGGAGCGGATTCCCCTGCCCTAGGCCCACCCCATCCGACCCAGTATTCAACTCCACCACGCCGCTACAGAGACTCCGAACGATCCGCCCCTGCAGCGTCGCGGACTCCAACACCTCCGCCACGGAATCCATCACCTCGAGAGCCTGGTGGATCCGCTCGCGCCATCCCGCCACCTCCGCCGCCACCGCCCCAGACGACTCGCTCCGCACGGACATCACCGGGATCAGGACAGCGGGGAAGATAAATTGGAGGGCATACCACCCCTCCAACGCGCTGCGCTGCTGATGCTTCCCCCGAAACCAGAAATTGGCGATCGCCCGGATGGATTCGTCCGCGGCGCGCTGGCAGCGTTGGATGGCCTCCTGGACGCTCTCGGGGTCTGCGGGGAGCTTCGGAGGACTGACACTGTGTCGCGTGGTGTAATGCCACACGATGAAGGGGCGGTACATGAGGATTTGGAAGTTGAGGCGGCGCCAGAAGAGCAGGGCGTGGGCGAGGCTGTATCGGGCTTCTTGGGAGGCGGTGCTGCGGTAGAACGCGGGGAGGGAGGCCTCCCATTCGTGGATGAGGGTATCGTCGTAATGGAGCAGCTCGCGGGCGCGCGGGTACGGGATGGTGGTGATGCTGCTGTACACCTTGCTGATAGTGGAGTAGAAGGCGGCTGTGAATTTGAGACCGGAGTATAGGATGGTCTGGTTTGCTTCGGCGTGGATCGCGGGGGTGCTCGGGGTTAGGTCCTGGATCGGGTCAATTTACAGTGGGGCAGTTTGGGTGCGGAGAGACGCACTAGGTCTTGAATGTTTAGAGGCAGATTGACTTCGACCCCGGCTTGGGGGAAGTCTTGCGGTCGGGACAATGCGATTGCATCTTCCAGGTTCAACGTGTACAGGCTCCACCACACGCGTCGGCGGACTTCCTGGTAGAAAGGGTTGCTCTCCGGCGTCGGGAACTCCTTGTACAGCCCGATCCCGATCGCGGTCCGATTCGCCAGGCCCAGGTAGTTGTAACTGGCGTTGAGCTTGTTCCGCATGCGCAAGTATCGCGACATCAGGGTCAGGGCCTGGACCAGGGTCTTGTTGCCCGTCTCCATCATGTCGCTGGAGAAGCGTGCCTTGGCCGCCTCGAAGAATCCCCGATCGGTGGTGTCATCCGTCGGGGAAGAGACGGCAAAGGCGCCCAGCGCAGCCACCGCATAGAGGAGCATTTCCCACAACGGCCGTGACGGTCGCGGGTACAGGTCCATCAACTGGGCGCGGAATGCAGTCTCGTGTAGGAACGGATGCAACGGGTGACAATGACCAAAGTATGCATCTATATATTGGCCGATCGACGACAAAGGCACGGAAGGCTCCGAAATAGTCTGTAGAGAGCATACTATGGCCATTGGCGGGTAAGCTTCATCTTGGTGACCGGTCGTGCGCAGGAAAGCTCTAGTCGAGGCGATGCCTTCAGATTCCCATTAGCATCGTCACCCGCGCAACTGGGATGGCGGAGCAGACCAAAGTAACCGCCACCGGAATGCTTGACGGGTGCCTCGGAGGCGTCTTGCAGAGTGCTATCCCGCTCATCCCATTCAAAACTGGCGACTGGAGGTGCAACTTCGGGGGGCAGAAGGACACAGCGCTCTGTCTGCCGCGTCTTGAGTAAAGATGAGCCCGGATCGACTGCAGCGCTGGTGTCGGGTGGCTGTGGACCGAGGTCATCATTGTCGGGATTCAGGCGCGCAGGCAAATGATCTTCCCGTCGGGTGTCTTGCAAGAGTGTCCGCGCATGGTTGAGCTCGTTCTCCAGCTGCGTCAAATACCTTCGGGTCAAAGGGGTTCTGTTGGGCCTTTGATAGTCGCATAGGCTGCGAGAGCGCTCACACGTCGAGCACACGGGCTTGGCACGGTCACACTAGCTGCGTCAGTACGAATCGACCTATGAAGCGCCTGGTTGCGTCAGACCTTCAATTTTCGCCGCCTACACTCTCGACAGGCTCGTCCGGGAGTCTGCGATGTCATTCTCACACTGTCGATGGGCAAAGTGGGGTTGGTTATGGCTACAGAGGAGCAGGAAGAGGGGGGGGGGAAAGAGATTTCCGATCCCGCTCGGACAGCTCGGGCTTTTCCTTCCGCCTTCCCGCCTCGGCTTCGGCATTCGACATCCGTCACCCCAGAGTACACGATTTCTACGTAGTCCTCGGTAACGTTAAATCCACATCTTCATTTGGCAGAAAAACAAGAAGTCAACTATTTGTACGCAATGCACTCCATCTCGACCAGCGCTCCTAGGGGCAACTCCTTCACCGCCACGCAAGTCCGCGCCTGGAAGAAGTCATGTCAGCCCTGGTCTTCACTTTCCCGAACTGTACCAGGGACCTACCGGCATGGGCACAGAGAAGTGTCGTGCATAAACACGATTCATCGCAGCAAAGTCGTCCATGGTGGTGATGTAGACGGTCATTTTGAGGATGTTCTGCAGCCCGGATTCGGCTGCCTGGAGGACCAGATCCAGATTGCGCAGTAATTGCTCCTGGGGGTCAAGTCAATAACTCACTGCCAAGATGGTGTGACACCACCTACTGTCTGTGCTTCCACTCCGCCAGTCACCAGAGTGTTGGATTTTGCATCCAGTCCGATCATGCCGGAGCAGTAGACTGTGTCTTTGTGGACGATCGCCTGCGAGAAGATCGGGAACGGTGCGGGGGCTTGGTCGGTGAAAATGGGGGTTTTTGCTGCCATCGTGACTCAGAATTCAGATATGTCAAAGAAAAGGTATAAAGAAGAAGATTGAACTCGGCAGAACAAGCCTTCACCCCAATACTGTGGCAGAATCTATGTCCTTCCACATCATATATATACGCATACATAGTAGGTAGAAGTGGGGCTCGGCGAACCGTCTCCGAGCGGAAAGCAACGGGAGTCAAAAAGGCTCGGCCACAAAACCCCGAGCCCGCCAATGTTAAATCGATCTTCCTCCCAACCTCCGCACCATTTCCAACCACACCTAAGCTCCTATCATCCTCAACAGAATACACAGTCAACCCAAGATGTCTCTCCCATACGCCCTGGTCGACGTCTTCACCACCACCCGGTTCCAAGGCAACCCGCTCGCCATCGTGCGCGTGCCCGCCCAGCAACGCGACACTCTGACGCAAGAGACCAAGCAAAAGATCGCCACCGAGTTCAACCTCTCCGAGACCGTCTTCCTGCACGAATCCGCCTCCCCCACCGACCTGCACATCGACATCTTCACCCCCAAATGCGAGATCCCCTTCGCGGGTCACCCGACCATCGGCACCGCATGCCACGTGCTCGAGCAACAGGCCTCCGCCACGGGGACCCGCAGCCTCCAGACCCTGATCACGAAAGCGGGGCCCATCCCCATCACCGCCGCCGATGACCTAGTTGGCGCCTCCATCCCATTCGCCTACCACCAACACCAAAAACCCGTGCAATCCGCCCCCGTCATCTCCATCGTCAACGGGCTGTCGTTTGCGCTCCAGCAGCTCCCCGATCTGGCCTCCCTGGCCGCGGTGACGGAGGCGCTGCTGCCGGACTGTTTCGCCACCGCGCATCTGGACGCAGGGTGGGACTCCGGCCCCACGGGGAGCAAGTACTATGTCGATCTGGGCCGGGATGGGAGCGGGTGTCGCACGCTGCGCACGCGCATGTTCATCGGCTGGGAGGACCCGGGCACGGGCAGTGCCTCCAGCGCGCTGGCGGCGTATCTTGCGTTGCAGGAGCCGATCGAGAATGGAGCGGGGCCGTTTGACTACCATATCATTCAGGGGGTGGAGATGGGCCGCCGGAATGATATCTATGTAACTGTGGAGCGGGATGCGGGTGGGGGGAAGATCGCGAAGATTTTGCTTCGCGGGACGGCGGTGCTGGTGGGCGAGGGGCGGATTATGTTGTGATTACTGGGAGTATGGTTCGTAAATGTGGGATGTAGTGTGAAATACAGAGTTGACTCTTTCATTGTACTCGAGTCGATCGACCAGGCGACCACACATACCTGGGTACCACCATCCGTGAAGATGTCTAGGGGGATCTGTCGGTCGTGTCTCTTGTCTATACTGGATCTTCTTAGAAGACTACTTTCAGTATCGAGACCGTCCAAGAAGAGGAAAAGAAAAAAAAGAAAAAAGAAAAATAGAAACATAGAAGGGAGTCGCTGGAGGTTACCTACCCAACTACTAAGCTCCTAGTGTGTGGGTTAAACACGGTCAATGTGACGTCTGTTTGATTTGTTATCTAGTACACTGATGGTTACCTACATATCTTTCATTAGAGATCAATATAATCGTAATTGCACGTTGTTAGATATGACTGGTTTTCTATCTACATTCGTAGACAAGTAGAACACAGCAGTATTACGTACCAGCCACTTCGCAGATCTATTACTTGGCTATTCTAAGTAGCGAACTTACCTGGGGGACTTATCAACCTGGGCTAACGCGTACATATCCTGGCCCTATTGTCAATTGTCACCAATACCTGACGCGGTGCAGGGGAGTCCTGGGCTGAGGACTATACACGTCACACAATGACATACCTGGAGATGAGCTTGCCCCCCTCCCCTCCCCGCTAACACCAGCATATCTGTATTTCATAATCCCACTACATTTGACTCACCATTACAAGGCAAGCACGATTCAGACATCGACCTTAACCGAAAACTATGGAGCCCGTTGCCCAGCTTCAAACCATCAACCTCCAGGCGCTGAAACGCGGCTGCGCGGACGAAGTCTCCAAGCTCCTGGGGGCGGCAGAACAGGATGGCACCTTCTACCTTGATCTCACCGACGAGGTCCCACTCGATAGGGTGACTGACGAAATCAATCGGCTGAGCCGCAGCCTGTTCGGCATGAGTGAGAAAGAGAAAATGAGATTCGACGTGGACAACCTGGGCCTGTATAAGCTCAATGGGTGATTAGTTTTTCTATTGTAGTGGTTTCTCCCGGGCAGTGACGCTGACCAACTACAGATACAAGCCCGTCGGCCGCAACGTCGGAGGCCTCCCAGGGCAGCGGGACGGTTTCGAGAGCTACGCGGTAAGTACACACCCCACACAGCATCGCCCCAATGAACTAAAGACAGAACTGGGTAGATCTCTCCCGACTCCGATTTCCCTGCTCCCCCAGTCGTAGCCCAATTCCGGCCCGAACTGGCCGAATTCCAATCCATCTGCCTAGACCTCGCCCAGGTCCTCTTCGAATCGCTCTCCGTCGCCTGCGGCTTGCCCAAGGAGAGCTCCTTCCAGGCGTGCCACTCGACCCCGGCCCTAAACCTGGTCCGCCTGCTGCGGTACCCGGGGGCCTTGGCCCTAGACAACCCGCACTTCAGCATCCCCCAGCCAGCGCACGCCGACATGGGATCGCTGACCTTCCTGTGTACGGACGCGCCGGGCCTTCAGATCCAGCCGGCCGGCTCGTCGGAGTGGCTGCATGTGCTGCCCAAGAGGGGCCAGCCCGTCGTAAATCTGGGAGACGCGATGAAGACGCTCAGCAACGGCCGGTTCGAGAGCGTGCTGCACCGCGTGGTCTCGGTGCCTGGGGGTGGGGCTTTGGGGGCACAGGACCGCTACAGCTTTGCATATCTGCTGCGGCCGGAACCATCGACGCCCATGGCGCCGCTTCCTGGCTTGGGTTTTGTGGGTAAAGAGGAGAAGCCGGTGCGGACATGCGAGGAATGGGTCTGCATGAAGTTTCGGGCGCTGCGAGCTTGATTCCTTGCCCTGTGGCTCCATACACCGAGTAAGCTAAGCTTGATATAGCGCTACATTCACTAGGAAACAACTATTTCTTCCATGATCTTCCCCCTTCATCTCACAACCAAAACCGATCGAATAGTCCTACCAGACGACCCTCCGGCCCCAGAGATACTCATAATCCGGCATAGCCTCCTGCACCCAGTGTAGCAGTCTCGTCGCAACGTAATCCCCAAACTCCGCCCGCCATTTGACCGCTTCCCCCTCGACCGAAAGCCCCCGGAACGTCTTACCCTGCGTGATGGTGCCCGACGAGGCCATCAGCGTCGTCCGGGTGTGTCTTCGGATAGGATGCTCGGCCAACTCCTCTGGGTCCACAACAGCCTCCCACTCGAACCGGACCCTGGTGGAATCCAACCCCACGAGGTCGCAGAAGTGGCGCGCCAGCTCAGGCCGCTCGATCAGGTCATCCGCCTCAAGCAGAATGGGCGGCGATCGCTGCTGTCCCTGCCCCTCCCACGCAGCGATATACCAATCATACAGCGAGCGCGTCCACCGCAGGGTGCAAATTGCCGCCAGATCGTTCATCATGCTCTCCAGCTTTTGACAGTCCCCGTCCGCAAAGGACCGCCTCACCCGGTAGTAGGAGGGAAACGCCAGGGCCGGATGCCGGATCAGGAATGCAGGCACGCATTGCAGCAGCACCTCGTCGGGCAGGACGGCCTCGTTGCCGTTGCCCGGGGTGCTGCTGTGGGAGTCCTCGCCGATCTGGATATTCATCTTTGACGCAGTTGCAATAAGCTTCGGTTGCGGCTGCGGCTGCTGCTGCTGCCGCCGCCGCCGCTGCCCCCGCCCATGCACAAAGTCCGCTCGCACCTCCGGACGGATCAGGAAGGGCGCATGCTCCTTGATCACGGCCCGCTTGCCCGCGGCTTGCGCTGCGCTGATGAGATGCCGGAAGTTGTCGGTGCACGATTGGAAGACCTGCTGCATGGCTGAGGTCTCCTGGTCGGTCCAGTGCTCGGGGGTCCGGTCGAGCAGTCGCGCGGCGCGGAGGTGGCTCAGGGCCGGGTAGAAGAAGTAGCCGCCGCTTTCTGCGGCGAGGACGTTCGGGTGGTCGGGTAGTGAGAGGATGCGCATGAAGAGGTTTGACGCTGAGCGCGGGTGCGTGATGAGTAACAGGGGTGGGTTGTTTGCTGTGCTCATGGTGGAGGGTATCTTGGTGTGTGAAGAAGGGAGGGCTGAGAGATAGAATAGTGGATGCTTGGGGATGAAACTTGAGCAGAAGAAGGCTTGCCAATGGGTTCTCTTGGGTGATGGAATTATGTATTCATGGGTAACCCTGTATGCTGCTGGACGTAGCCAAGCCTGGCAGAGGCTTTGCCTGCGTCCACGTCATCCTTCAGGTTACACAGCAGGCAGTCAGCACGATCTATTGCGGTAGAGGGGAATGAGACTGTCCCACTGTTGCCATATCCCCAAAGATGTAGCTAATCTAGCCAGATCGCATCGAGTCACGGCCTTGCGCAACCGCTCGGATATATACACTCGTATATTTGAAGATAAAGCTGCAGTTGTCCTTTTAAGAAAGCCAGATCAGTAGGTCGCTAATTTTCTCCATAATAAGAGTCTTGTCTTAATACTGTGTATATAAGCTAGATTTCTGGGCGAGTACAACTTCATCAACATACTAAATTACTAGTAATAAGTATCAGTCTACCTTCAACTACAGAAGAGTTACTATTTTGAACCTAATTCGGAAGTTATCTTTGTAATTCCTTGTTCTATCCAGCAATAGAGCCAAAACACTGTATCCTAAGATGTCCCCTTTCCAAGAAATATAAAGCTTCCAAGCAAAAAATTATGATCTCTCGTTTAGATTGTAGAACTTCGGATACTGTTTAGCAAGTATCTGTTCTCGGATGTATTCTATGGGCTATGTAGTGGAGAGTTCCTGCTCTCTTGTAAACAAGCCTGGTGGCTTGAGGTTCAAGCCGGCATGGATAAGTGGGAGTTGGTGATAGCCAAGCAGTACAAAAGCCCTAAAATATTCGTGTATAATAGTTCCGTCACCTGATCGCATCCCAGGCGAGCTCTAACGCCAAGGCTGAACTCAGTACAACTCTGTCCATGCTTAAAAATAGGAATCAGAAAGAAAGAACGTATAGCTAAAGATAATCGCTGATAGTCATCTATCTGGATACTAACCTCCCAGCATATAGCTTGAAATCAGAGATGAGATCGCGCTGTGAGCGAGCATTCACAGAGAAAGTACTGTGCTGTGTGGCCTAGTCTTATCCGTCGGTTACAAGCTATCTTTCAATACAGCATGCCTTCCACTTTAGGCTTTATTTCGACCAGTAGGAATCCGGATTTGAAGAAAGTATCGCTACAGGATCTCAATTACCAATCAGACGCACATTTCTCCTTGAACACCAGATAGTCCCATATAGCCCAAATAATATGAGTATGACACGTGGAGCCGCAGCCAGAGTAACGGAGCAGCATACTCTATGTACGCAAGGAACCTACAGTTACTTTTGCCTTTAACTGTAGGACGGATATTAGCAAGGATCACATGTAAAGTTCTTTGCCAATTGAACATTGCCAGAACATTGACTGAATATCAACAAAGCTTCCAAAGTGACTTAGACTTGCAGGAAACGAGAAGCTATCATACCAGAGAAGACATTCGTAGGGTCCATCTACTTTGCAAGCAAAGAAAGTCACATGTGCCGCGGGTGCTTATGCTTCAGGCAATGTACAAATACTCAACTTCGTTCCGGAAAGGGATGAGCATTCTTCATGAAATACCTGAATACAGAGCCAGCACACACAACTTACGTTTAATCCTCGTCTCTTCCTTATTTACAAACCACACATAGTCTTTATGTCTAACAAGATTTAAATAAACCATCTGATGTGGAATTTTTCGAAAAACTACGAAAGAGTAAGTACTCGGTGTTTTTAACGTCCGTCTCAAGGAAAGGAAATATGTCATAAAAGTAGTAAGTATGGATACTTTCATTTTCTACTAGCTTCTTGCTTATTTGAATTAAAGTATTATGATAAAGACCCGTCTGAGCTCGATCCCTCTAACCATAAGATCAATCTTTATATTTTAAAGTTCACTGTATACCGTGGAATGAACTCCAAAGGCTTGTGGAAGAGGAGGGTGATCCCGAATTTCTCTAGAATAATTACCAAATATCCAGCCCGCTGCTTGGGAGATCTTCACATGTTTAATGACGACAGACTGAAGCCCAATGCCGTTCGTGTCGAATATGTCCCAAACCTGCAGCCGATAGACCTGTCAAACTCTTCAGAAAGACGCCTGGCTAAAGTCCGCAAGATCCTCGACGATATCCACCGGGCAAGAGGTTCTCCATGGTGATTCGAAGCCCCGCAATATGATGGCCTCGTTGGAGGACTACGAAAGGATACTCTGGATGGATTTTAATCCTGCGCTAATATTTTCAGATCATGATCTATCACCCCGGCAAGAAAGATGGATTGCAGATGAGGTGGAGATGATAGACTATTAGATTGATGCCTTGGTGAGTTCCAGTGTTACAGCTACGGCTTGTGCTGACGGTCAAACCGCGGCTCGGGATTTCAGAGAAGGCCGGCTGAACCGCACAGTTTCCTACTATTATGACTGGTTCAAGTAGGCCAAAAAAGGCCGGGCGGTGTTAAAGTAACCTTGCACACCATGTCAAAACTGGTTCCTTGGATGGAATATTCGCTCCGCGCTATGTACAGTGTCACGGGTACCTCAGGCACCAATTGGCGGATGCCTAACAGGCTGTCAAGGCGCCTGTCACTTACTGAGTGCCAGGTGTATCTCTCTTAGTTCTCTACATGGTGTAGTTTGGTCTCGATAAAATCCTGAAATAATAAAAGAGCACAGCTAAATTCGATAAATAGGATCATTATGTTTCGATGGTTGTATACCAAATATTATATATGTACGGAAGTTCGACAGGCTCTCACCACCATCCATTGTATGTCCGTTTAGCCGTTGAAACTAACAAACCAAAAAAAAAAAGATCGACTGGTTGGGAAAAACCAGTTACACTGGCTTCATCCAGGGAACCCTCTAGAACATAGTACCTCGCGCATGCATAACAAAGAGTGCTTGCGCAATAGGGATGGGAACCTTCCTGCCTACAGCGATCTACTGGGAACAGACTAGAACCGTCTATTGTGCACGACCTGGTGCCCGGGGTGATGGTCTCTGGAATGTGTTTTTCGCCTTGTCACAGACCATAGTGGTGCATGGGAGCTTACGGGAATGAAATTGGTGGCCTACGTTAATGTCTCAAACGGCGTCCTCCTCATTATATGTACACTGGGAGGCATCAGCTGTTCAGCCAGACGCCTAAATATAGGACCTTTTTATAATAGATTATTACACCTCAGCTGCCAGCAGTGGACTATGTATGACGGTTGAACTTCTTCTCAGATGTATTGGCTCTATTCCTCGGGTTCTAGGTTTGCTGGAATCGGCGACTCTAAGGATAAAGTACAGGAATGACGATCGGGAAGCGAAAGGGGGGGAAGCTAGATCAATACGAGAGTTAAGCTCTGGAGACTGTAGTCGTAGTAGTCGCCTTGACAGTAACCGTGGCCGGTGCCTGGCAGCCGTGGTGGTGTGGGGCAATTTGACCGTGGCCGTGACCATGACCATGCTTATGGGTCCATTGGCCGGTGTTCACGGTAGAGACAAGCGTAGGGTTAGCGTATGAAGTGGAGCCGGACGAGGGGATGGCCACGACAGTCGAAGAGCTCGAGAATGTGACGTCCACGCCAGAAGACGGACTAGCAGACGAAGACGAAGGAGTGGTGATGGCAACAACAGGACTTGTTGAACTTGCGGACGGGGTCACAGCAGCCGCAGACCAGCTCCCCTCCGGAGCAACACTGATCCCCTCGGCGTAAACGACACTACCACCACCATTGGGCCAGACCCGGGGCCCTGGCATCGTATAATTGGTCCAGTACGGACGGTACATGTAGAACAAAATGCCTGGTTCGTACCCCGTATACACTCCGGGGATCCTGACAAGCGGTCCCGGGACCGCAACGCTGTCGCTCTCGACCTCGATCTGCGCACAGTTGAAGTAGAACTCCGCCCCACCATAATCCCCTGCCCCATGCAGAGCAATATGTTCAATGCGTACGAGGTACTGACCCGCCGGCGTCTCCTTCGGCAGCGTAAACGTGAAATTGCCAACATCCGTCACGCCCCATTCGATCCCCTGGCTGCCGAAGGACTTTGGTCCCAGCTCGTAAATCTTGAACCAGTCGCCCGAGCCATCATACGCGCGTATATCCGTCCCCACCGGCGCCTGCGAGAGATACACCTGCATCGGGCCCGGATGCCCGATTAATGCGTTGAAGTCAGTGCCGAACCCGATCTCTTCTCCGGCCTTCACCTTGTAGACGTTTGTCTGGGCGGCGAAGTCCTGCGACCCGACGTTGCAGCGGAGATCGGTGCTGTCGTAGTTGCCCTTGTAGGGCATGTACCCCTGCGTGTCTTCGCGGACGTATTCCCAGTATCCAGTGAAGTTGCCGTCGGCGATGAAGTGCGGGAAGAAGTAGTGGGCGGACACGCCGGGGAGTGCGAGGGCGAGGGCAATAGGCACGGGTAGCTGATTGAGCAGGCGCATGGCTGAGAACAAACGGCCGGAACAGTGCTGCGGCGAAGATAATAAACGATCGGCAGGCAGTCACCAGGACTGACAAGAATTAGTATTGGCTAAAAACGAGAGGAATGAAGAAGCACAATCAGCGGAAGGCAACCAGTGTTGATAGAATAAACGCAAAAGCAGAAACGGCATTTCATATAATTTCCGAGGGCAAAACGCGATAGAATAAGAATCCCTGACCCTGCTGAGGTAATACTTAATCCAAAACATGAGGCACCCGCTAGTGTTTCAGCCCTGCAAGCGAGGTGGGGCCCAGCGCATCTTCACGCCATCGGAATTACCCCGAGCACCGCAGCATATCAATGTCACAAGCGAGCTCGAAGGCCACACTGTTTTTCTCACGCTGTACCATCAATTCTGATGAGGGGCTGCTGATACGGGAGTGATAAGTCAAATTAATGTCAACCGAAAATTCAATAGCCGTACATGAGATATCTTGAGATACCACAAGGAAAGAAGAACCGGCACATAGAAGGCGCGAGCATGAGGTATCTCCCTCAAGCCAAGAAAAAGACAAATAATCGCTTTTCTCTCTAGCGTCCAAACAATGTTACATTCCAAACAGCCCTAACCGCGTCCAGGCCCTGAACGTCATGGGGCTAAAACAGATCGACGAATTTCATCCCTTTTTCTTTTTTTTTTTGCGCTCATGGACCTCATGCCTCGGCACGGATCATGGGCGCGTAATTTTGGATATAATAGTCATCGCCACGATGATACTACTGCCTCGGTTTGTACTAATCAAGCGTACATAACTCACCCGCCAAGAGGTTGTCCTTGGAGACGGAGATTAAAGAATCAACGGAAAGAAGACGCCCGACGTGAGACCCAGCGAAAGACCTGCTACTAGCATGGTTGAAGGCTTTTGGTGCACTCCTCCGTTAGTTCTACAGTAATGGCCCGATCCACAGCTGTAGAGCTTCTCCGGATCGAACAGAGCGGGGATGCGTTCAGGAGCCAGAGGGCTATGCCACCGGAGTTTCAAAAAAAAAAAATGATTCCGTCGTAGCTCCGGTGGCGTAAGACTTTTGGCTGGATTCTCTGATGCATTCAGCCGAAGATAAAAACGAGAGAAGGAGAGAAGGAAGGGAAAATGAGGGGACTTCGGTAAAGCTATAATGTAATTGCTCTCCACAGGGGGGATTTGATTGCCCCCAAACCAGAGAGACATGATGCAGCGGTCGAGTTTCAGGCAATCAAAACGTCCGGTGGGGATGCTTTCTCCAACGGGATTGCGGCAGTAGAAATATAACTGTATAGACTTGAGGGCACGGACCATACACGCCATTATACCGAATCACCTTTGCAAAATTGTTCTGCCTTAAGCACCTCCAGTAGCGACCATCCAACTACCCCCAAGAAATACCTCTCAAGTCATGCTCCAACGGTCCGACGGCAAACTAATCTACACCCTCGACGTTGAGACGTTGGAGATCGAGCCATGGGGCCACAACGCGATTCGAATCCGCTTAACTCGGGCGCTTCAGATGCCTGGTAACAATTGGGATCTGCTTGGAGCGCCTGCGGCACCCTCAGGAGACACCAACATCATTTCAAACGGTACGGCTTTTGCGGAACGTAAAAATCCAGGCAAGCGTGTCGAAGACCGGGAAGGTCCACTTACACAAGTCTAAAGGAGACCTTCTCCTGCAAGAATACACTCGGAACAGGAAGGACATGGCAGACCCCAACTGCAGTAGTACCATGAAGGTTCCTACTTGAGAGTTCATCTCATCTAGAATAGCGAGAGCTATCATGTCACGGCTCGATTCGAAAGCGTTGATGCGGGCGAGATGATATTCGGTATGGGGCAGTACCAGCAGCCATTGCTTGGCCTCCAAGGCCACGACTTGGAGCTGGCCCATCGCACCTTGCAGGCCAGTATTCCATTCAGGTGCCGTCCCTGGGGTACGGATTCCTCTGAAATAATCCCTCCATCCGCAGGACCTTTCTTAACTATGTCCTTCGACTACAAGTGAACCACTACCCTCATCGATACCCGGGATGAGGTTGACAGCGATGTGGTTGTGGACTTTCAGGAGGCCTTTGCGGCTCAAGAGAACACAGAAAAGGGTTGGAGGCCAAGCTTGGAGACTATCATAGGCCAAGAGCCCGAGGAAGATAAAGGGGACGAGTGCAATGCAAGCTGTTGTCAAGGGGAGAATGTTCACAGAGACATCTATGCGGACACCAATCGGAACCGGGAGTATATGGCCTCCCTCGTGCCCCAAGACCGGCGGCAAGAGCCTTCGCCAGTTCTGCTCCCTCGCTCGCTGGAGGGAATCTATGATTTGGACAGTGCTTTCTGGGATGAAGATTTGCTCATCCTGTCTTATCGTGTTTTTGGGTTCATTCTGCGCAGTCGGAAGTGGGGTGAGTAAACTCTTCTGCTGGCTATCTCCAATGTTGCCTTTGTTACTTCCCTTTTTCCCCTTCCCCCCGAGAGGAGGAGGGCATTGCATAATATGGCTAATTGTGGTTTGTGCTCGCAGCGCAGTTGGATTTGACCCACCTCGGCTCACCACGGCTCTCGTCTACTCGGGTTGAATCTGGCCCTCCATCGGTCAATGCCCCAAGTAAGGATGGGATCGGGCATGGCAATCACGGCCCTCCAGAAGCTAGTGGTATTGCTTACCAGACTCAAGAAGAGAAAATGGAGACTGCCTTTGACCAGCTTGTACTTCCCCAGGGGCATAAAGAAATGGTTGAGTCATTGATTGCGCAACATTTTCGCGATAAAGATGCTGCAAGAACCCAGGCCAAAGATGACCAACAATTCGATATCGTCCGTGGTAAAGGTATATGACGCGGCGAATTGCCATTCCAGAACACGAACTTTTCTGACATCATATCAGGGAAAGGGTTGATCATTCTTCTTCATGGAGCTCCTGGTGTCGGAAAAACCAGCACGGCAGGTATGTAGGGATGATACTAATCGCAGTTACTGCTTTGGGGAATTTCATACTAATTGGGTAATTGAACAGAGGGAGTCGCTGAGATGTTTCGGAAACCTTTATTCCAAATAACCTGCGGTATGTGTGACGCCCCGATTCTCTCTTACTTTATCAACACGCTCATCACGAGGCGGGTTTCTAAAAATTTCCATTGCAGAAGACTTGGGAACTACTGCACGAGAAGTCGAGCAAGCGCTTGAGATGCATTTTACCCTTGCGAATCGGTGGGGGTGCGTTCTACTGCTGGATGAAGCAGATGTGTTTTTGACAGCGCGGAGCAAGACCGACTTTATCCGAAACGGGCTGGTATCTGGTATAGTTCCGCCTGACCCAACAAGCCGCAAAGGGAGCCCCGAAATGCTAACTTGCAGCAACAGTCTTTCTTCGTGTGCTGGAGTACTACGCGGGTGTTTTGTTCCTAACCACCAACCGCGTTGGCGACTTTGACGAGGCATTTGCGTCCCGAATCCACATCAGCTTATACTATCCCCAGCTCAATGAGCAATCAACAGTAGCGATCTTTCGGCTGACCCTAAAGCTGATCAAACAACGATTCGACTCTCGGGGCCGAAAGATCGACATTGATGAACCAGAGATCGTGGACTACGCGAGGTGGTTTTTCGACAACCACAAAGAAAAGTGGAACGGCCGTCAGATCCGCAACGCTTGCCAGACAGCTTTGGCCTTGGCCGAATACCGCGCGCAGGGTGACCGGTCCAAGCAAGTCATCGATGTGGACGCAGCTGTCCATTTGACCACGCAGGACCTCGTCACGGTCTCCAATGCCTATGAGCATTTCATGGTGTATATCAACGAGGTGCGTGGGGCAGACTCGATCAGGTATGCGAGGTTGCAGAAGCTGCGCGCGCAAGAAATCGATATACTTCTTGAGGCGCAGCCAGTCCATACCGATACACGCCCACAAAGCGCTGCTCAGACGACAGCCGCACCAGTGGTGCCCCAGTCGAATATTCCCAATGCTCAGCCGATGCAGGCTGCGCCAGTGAGTGCGGCTTATGCGTATCCGCAATACAATACTACCGGGGCTCCCCCGCCAGCCTATCCCTACCCCTACTTCCCTCAAGCGATATATCCCCAAGCGCCCGCGCAGGGTCCCGCAACTTATGGACCTCAACCTGGCACACAACAAGGACATCCACCAGACGCAAATGCTGCTGCTGCATGGCCTGGTCAGCAGCACCAGCAGCACCAGCAGCAGCCGCGGCCCACGCCGCAGGAGCAGCAATACCAGCAGTACCAACCGTACCAGCAATATCAGCAGCACCAGCAGCCACCACCTCAGGGTGGGCCGACTGCCAACTAGGTAGTCTCTGTCTGAAACAGGTACTACAGTTCCCCACTATAACAAATCACCCGTCGAGCCTAGTATGTTCGTTGTAACGCGGAATCATTCTGGCGAATGTACATATTTGGAGTACAAATATAAGTATTCTAAGGTACCGACTCTTAGAAAACCCCAGCACGTGACTTCAAAAGTCTTATCTATCTAGATCGAAACAAGTTCTTAAGTATTCGGGTATAATCTTTCCTCAATACAATGACTTCAATATGTAGAGAGTGTCAAGTCGTACGATTCGTGATATTGCAAAAATAACGAATTTTATATGGTGGCGGAAAGACCATGTAAAGTATTTTCGCTATGGCGAGGAATTCGCTATATGGTAGCGGGACTCGCTATAGCGGGGAACTGCAGTAGATTCCACTCTAGTTCCAATGTAGAGATGTAGCCAAGGGCAAAAAACATACAACAGAAGGGATTCGCTGGTGGTCACCCACCCAACTACTAACCTCCCGGCGTGTGGCTTAAGTACGGCTGAGCGGACGGGAAGCCCTGTTTTCCACACCCTGTGGTCGTATGTGCTTGCTGTTGGGACGAGACAATCCATGAACAACAAAAGAGCCCTGTGACAAACTCCGTAATTCTACCAATCTGCCCGACTGCCTGTATATATAAGAAAGAAACAACATCGCTAATCGCCGCACGCAGAGACAGTACCCGCCATAACGCCCACTCCACTTATCCGCTCCCCCAAAAACGCCCCCTCAAAGATCAACATCAAACGGATCATCAAACATACCCCCCGGCAACAACCCCCCGGGCATCGACGGCAACAGCCCATTTCCCTGGCCCGGGTAGAGCGGACACGGTGGCCGTGCCCATGCCCGTGCCCGCACCCTCATGCCGTCCAGCGATTCGAACTGTCGTCCCCCACCACACCCATCCACCTCCTCCTCCCCCTCCCCCTCGGACCCCGTCGCATCCTTCCCGTCTGCGGCACCACCCACCTCCGTAATCGCCAGCAACAGCCGTAGATTCTCCTGCAGGACCCGCGGGTACCCCCCACTGCTACTGCTGCTGTGGCTGTGGCTGTGGCTATTGCTGCTCCCATGCGATCCGGTTGGGTCTACCACATACCCCATCACCGCCGCCGCGTGCGTGTTGAGGTAGATGTTCCGGGCAATGAGCAGCTTCTGCTCCAGCTCGTGCACCTGCCGCGTGAGCAGGGCGGTGCGCTCCTGCTGGCGGGAGCGGTAGGCGCGCTGCGCCACGCGGATTTGGATTTTGCGGCGCTGGTTGGGGGGGTGGGAGTTAGGCTTGTTTGTTTGTTTGATGTATTGGGAGGGGCGGAGCTGGCTTACCTCTTTCGTGGCTGCGTCGTCGACTTCCCCCGTGGTCTTGTCGAGCATCCTCGGCCGGCCGCGTTTGCGCCGGGGGTTCGTGGGTTGTTTCTTTGGTTGGGCGGGGTGGTTGTGGATTGTGGTGTTGGATTCATCATCAGTGGAGGAGTGGGGTGGGCTTGTCGGGTCGAGGACCGTTGATGCTTGTGAGGGGGTGGAAGATCGGGATTGTAAAGAAGGGGACGGCGACGATAATGATAAGGACGATGCATTGAGGAGGGAGAGGTAGTCTAGCATCACGGCGGGGTCCAGGGTCCAGGGACTCGGCATCATCTCTGCTTGTGACATCTTTGGACTTCTCGTGTCGAGGACGTTGAGGACTCAAAAAAATTTTTGTCTGTAGATCTGTCTATCATCGGGTGGATATCCCCCTCTATATATAGTACCGGTGCATAGTGATGGTCGGGATACATCCCCAACCGCCAACGGGCCTGAATAAGCTATTAGGGCAGGTGGGGAAGAGGGGAGGGGGTCCAGCTCCAACCCTTGAAGTCAACCCTGCAGAAAATGAGATTCACGCTCGCGTGGCCAGAAGAGATTAGTAGCCCCCAATCCTTCGACTCCAACCATCATGACCCTTGCCTGCAGGGTGAACCGTGATTGGAGATATCGCGATCATCACGGAATCGGGACTTGTCGTGGACTCGTGGTTGTGAAGCTGTTCCCGCTGTGGAGGCAGGGACTTGGCCCTTTTTGCCGCAGGGGAGGGGGTCGATTGGGTCGGAAGGGAAGGGAAGCCCTAACCGGTTATCTGGCTGGTGCATGGCGAGACCGGGACCCGGGAATAAGGACGGTTACCGAGCGGAGGTTATTTGCTGTGAAGACTGGCTGTCACTGCCCAGTGGCCTCGCTTGATTACGTGCAGAGGAGACTAGTGCAGCGCGATGTTTACACTTTCCCTGAAACGGAAGACCGACTTCCTGATCAGGGTTAGTGGGAGCGGGTCCCTCTATCGATTGATTATTCTATCGCTCCGGTCGAGATGAGATTGAAACTGCGCTGAGTTCAGCCTGAAGTAGTGTTTTGGCCTGATGTCAGGCCACTACTCCGTAGTTTCTGCTAACTTGCTACTCCGGACTAAATTGTTGGTTTCTGGGGAGATTGTGCACTGCTTTTTTGGGAAAATGGTGTTCGGTTTAGGTCGAGTCCGACGGTCGGCATGCTGGGCGACTCTAACCTAACCCTAGCGCGGTTAAGCTTACCTTTCTTTACCTTTACCCTTGCCGGTATAGATAAGAAGATTTGGAGGTCTCTCCACCGAAGGCGTAGTCCCATTCTACAACATGCGATGTATTATAAATTCATCATGGAATGGTATGTGTCATGTGCTTCTGGAAAGACCATTTTGCCGAGCACGTTTCTTGTTTTGAGGCTGAAGGCGAAGTGCTTTCCTTGCAATTAGTCAGGTTCCGGGATTTGGCATCGGGATGAATATGGGGTGATGAGACGGCAAATCTGCGTTGCTGGTCCGGGCTGGAGAGCCTCAGCCCCGATACTGGAGGAATTGCTAACTTGATCGGTACCGTACGATTCAGGCAGATGATACAGAGGATAGCTTAACCGCTTGTGCATTGTTTCCCTGATCAGCCATGAAAAATTCTCTCCAATAGTCTAGTAATCTAGACACAATCCACACATCTAAACCGAACCAGCACCACCCTCGGCAGCAAATGCAATTCGGACCCTCGTCCCATCTACCGGTTTTGCCGTGATCTGCATAGTCTACTCCTCAGGTCAGCCCCTCTCCCACCACAACAGGGGGTAAGAGAATAAACTCACATTAAACAATTCCCTGCGGACAGCAAACTGCCCCTGCGCCCCCATGACGGGCTGCCCCATCTCATCCCTCACAACCTCCCCCAAGCCAACCTTCGTAACCTCATACCGGCGCACCGTACACGCCAGAATCACCCGCACCTCCAGAGTGGCCAGCTCCTGCCCGATGCAATTCCGGGGCCCGCGTTCGAACGCCCGCCACGCGCTGGCGGGGATCTTCTGCTTCTCGTGATCAGACGACTCCAACCACCGCTCAGGCCGGAACACGTCCTTGGTCGCGCCGTACACCGCCTCGTCGCGATGGATCAGGGTCTCGCAGTTATAGACGACCATTCCATCGAGACACAGTGCCTCACCCCCGGGAAGCTGGACGGTAAACCCCGTGCCTGGGGCGGTGAAGCGCGCGCTGCCGGAAGGGGGATGCAGCCGGAGAACCTCCCTGATCACCGCGGAAGTGTACGGCATCTGGTTGAGGAGGTGCTCGCCCCCGGGTGCAGTCAGCCGGTCCCAGACAACGACCGAAGAGGGATCCGGCCCGAACAGCGCGGCCAGCTCCGCCCGGACGGCCTGCAGCGCGCGCGGGGTGCGGCTGAGCTCGTAGAAGGTCCACTGCAGGACGATGCTGGTGGTGTCATATCCGGCGAACAGGAACGATTTGAGCTGGTCGCTTGTCTGGGTGAGCACCTTGTCATCTAGGGTGGCAATATCCTGCAGGCTGAGGGCGAGGATGCTCCGCGAGGACTTCCCTCCACCGGTCGGTGTGGCCGGCAGGTCGGCGAACTTCTGCGAGATGTGCGCGCGCAGATACCGCTCGAATCGGACCGTGAGCCGCCGGCGCTTCAACGCGCCCCAAAGGTTGACGCTCTCCCAGCTCATGCCGCCGGCCATCGGGTACGAGCGCACCAGGTCCCGGAAGAGTTGGTAGATCTCGCTTTGCTGGTGGGGTGCGCATTGTGCGCGGAAGTCGGTGTCCATTACTATTGCGCCTGTTTCATGGAAATATTTCAGTCTAAGGGTCGTTTCGATCAGAAGAGTGGGGCACTGTGTTTACCGATGATGTCGAAGGTGAGGTTGATGCAGGGTTCGTCCAGCCGGAACTCCTCCCCGGACTTGGCGTGGCGGTCCAGAGTCTCGACGAACCGGCGCGACATGGCCACGATCCGTGGGAGGAGAATCATCAGGTGCTGGGGCGCGAAGCCCGGGTTGAAGCGCCTGCGGAGGGTCTTCCATTCTTCGCCCTGTAGTTAGGTCAGCATTTTGTCTCCTTGAACGCAATTCGAGGCTTGGGGCTGATACATTCGCGGCAATGATCGATCCCATTCCAATCAGACTGTGCAGGTCCTTGATCGTCGGCGATTTTGTCATGCTGTAGGGATACTCTTTCGAACTGCGGGAGATCTGCTCGGCCACTTCATGATCGCCGATCACGCAGAGTGGGTACTGGACTGGCCGGAGGTCGAGCACGAAGAGAGGCGGGTGGTTCAGGTGCGCTTTGATCTCGAGGAGGACTTCGTCTGCGAGGGATCAGCACTTGTTCGAGCGGGCTTGAGTATCCTGGTAAACTACGGGAGGCGTACCGATATATCGTTCGGGTTCATTTTTGGACATAAACTCGTAGATGGTTTTAAGGTGGCCCCAGATTAGCGAAGGCTGGGGCTACGGGTAGGGCCATGGGCGATAGCTGGGTGAATCGGTAATATTGCAGTTTTTCTGTAAAAGTAAAAGAGTAGAAGAAGTACAAAGGCCAGAATAAGAGATGTTATCATCCTGTATGATATCAACGACCACTGTGACAGTAGGTATGGAAAGACTGTTTCGGTGGTAAGGTGAGATTAAAAAATTATAGATCTGACAACTGATTACCAGAGCCGGTCTTCCTATCTTCCTAGATCCTAGTATGGTAATAACTGACCGCAAAATCCCCACAATGCAAATCCCGGAGTCGGGAGAAGTATTTAATTCTGACAGCCTTAAGGCTCAACTTAAAAGACATTTCAGCGAGCGATCTTTGAGCTCAGCAATCGAAACTTCCCCGAAGTTTTGCGAATTAACATCAACCAATTATTTATAATCAATTTCCCGCACGTGAAGTGGAGCCAACCCTTGAAAGGAAATTGTGCGGGCGACAGGGGAAAGCCCCACCTTTACTCACATCTCCAGCCCTAAACTCAGTTGGGTTGGGCCAGACTCAACCTCTCCGATATCTTCGCGATCAGACCAATCGCTTGCTTTGGTGTTACAATTTTAGCGTGTACATTGGCGCTTGGCCCCACATAGTGCTTAATCGTCACTTTGGCAGCGGGCTACTAATCATTCCACCCAGGGCCCGCCGCATCAAATGCAACGAGACCCCCGTAGCATGCCGTAACTGCTCATCGATCGGTCGACAATGCGACGGCTACGACGTCCACCGACTGCCCCCTAAACTCAAATCGACGGGCAAGAAAATGACCCTGACCGCTCCACCAAAGCTGCTGGGGCTGGCCGGCGAGCCCAGCCAGGCGCTGGACCGGCTGGACTGGACGATGACCTCTGACGAGCGGCGGTGCGTGGCCTTCTTCCAGCACCACACGGTGCCCACCCTGCTGGAGTTCTTCGACTCCACCCTGTGGCAGAATCTGGTGCTGCAGCTGAGCCGCTCCGAGCCGCCCGTCTACCACGCGATCGTGGCGCTGAGCGCCATCCACGAGAAATCGGAGGCCAACGGGATGCCGCTGGCCACGCCGACCGATTTCGCTGCCCAAAACCCCTGGCACCAGTTCGCGCAAGACCAGCTGGCGCGGGCGATCACTCTGCTCAACCGACGCAGCGCCTCGCAGGACCCGCGCTTCCGCGAGGTGATCCTGGTGTGCTGCCTGCTGTTCGTGCTGGCACACCTGCTGCGGGGGCAGTACGACAGCGTGTTCGCGCATCTACGGAGCGGCCTGCTGATCCTCCAGGAGCTGCAGCAGAACGGCGAGTTCGGGAATCGCGCCTCGTCGCGGGGTTCAGTCGAGCAGTGCATCGCACTACGACCGCATCTTCCCGATGCTGCAGCCCCTCCACCCACCCACCCAGCCTTCCCACCATGATCCCGCCACCACTACCACCACCAACCCCAACTCCCCAACGCAACCCTTCCAATCCCTCCCAGAAGCCCGCGCGGCCTTCGACACCCTCCTCCGCACCTCCTACCGCTTCAGCGCCCCAAGCATGGGTCTCACCGCCCCGCAGATCTCGGCCAACTACGCCGCGCTCCAAACCGAGCAACACGCCGTGTGGAGCGAAGCGACCCTCTTCGCGCAGCGGTTCCGCCCCTTCTACAGACACGCCTACCCGGACCTCACGGCCAAGGAGCAGCGCGGCGCCGCCATCATCAATCTGCACCTCGTCTGCCTGCGCGTCTGCCTGCACTCGTGCCTGCTGGGCAGCAACTGCGCGGCGCTGGCGCACTACCGGGCCGACCTGCAACACACGTGCGAGCTGGTCGAGGCCCTGATGGCCACGTTCCCGGACCATCGGCCGAGTTTCACGCTGGAGACGGGAGTTCTCCCGCCGCTGTATCTGGCGGCCATTCTGGGGGATGATTACCGTGTGCGGTGGCGCGCGATCGGGCTGCTGCGGAGCTGGCCGCACCGCGAGGGCCCGTTTGATTCGAACTGGTTGGCGTCGCTGGCGGAGGAGGCGTTGTTGTTGGATTTGAGGCGGAGGTGTGAGGCGGAGGCTGGGTTTGGGGCGGTGGTTTTGGTTCCGCGGGGTGGGGATGCAGAGGACGATTTGACGGCGGATGATCTCTTCCGTGAACTGCGGGGGGTTCGTCGCAGGAAGCTGGAGATGTTGTTGCGGACGAAACGGCTGCGGAAGCCTGCGCTTGATGAGGATGTGGACGTGGAGGTGGACGCGGACGCGGTGGGGTGGGATCCGTTGGATGCGGTCGGCCCGGTTAAGGGGATGGGGAGTTGGTCGTGTGTGAGGGCGTTTCATGCGGCGACGCGGGGGAGTGTGGGAGGATATTGACTTGTTTTGTGATCTGGATGGATAGCGGGCGGGCGGCTCTTGCCCTTGGCTTCGTGTTCATTCTTTCAAGCGGTGTATTTATTGCAGCTTTAGCTCCAGCATCAAACTTCTATGCCTTCCCTAACCCCCTCCCCAAACCACCCGGACACCAACCCCATCCCTACTCATAAACCCTCTTCCCCCTGATTAATTCATCGGCCGTCTCATAATCATGCCCAAAGATCAGCCTTGCCCGAAACAACCGCTGGAACCGCGCCACGAACTTCCCACTGGCCACCCACGCCCGATGATCGCGCAGCAGCCAGCCCTGGGCCTGATTCCGCTCGAAGTTCTCCCGCACGTGGAACTGGTCCGTCGTCCAGATGAAGGTGCCGTCTTGAGCCAGGTTCACCTGCATGATGCACAGCCCCGGCGTATGTCCGGGACAGTGGTAGAGGGTGATGCCCGTGCAGAGGTCGAGCTGGGGTTCCGAGAAGGTTTGCCAGTTGAGCGTGTCCAGCGAGAGGTAATCTGCTCTGCGGGGTGTTAATTTCGTTTACGGGCGGGTGGGGTACGGGGCAAAAGGGGAGGGAGAACTACAGATACACGCCGCCATCCGCGCCCGTCGCGGCCGCCCAGCAGGCGTGCTTGAACTCCTCCTCGTGGACGTAAATGGGCACCCCCGTGTGGCGGAAGTGCTCGAGCCCGCCGGCGTGGTCCAGGTGCAGGTGGCCCATGATCACGGCCTTCACGTCGCGGATCTCGTGGCCGGTGGCGCGGATGGCGGCGGGGAGGTGGTGCTGCGGTTCGTAGTGCGTGCGCGGGAAGAGGTCGGTGGCTTGGGGGCCCCATTGCTTTTCATGCGATGATTAGTATAGGGGAGGGATGTGGTCTGCCGGCTAAGTTTGTGCTTAGGTGGGACAGGGAGGGCCCAGGCAAGGGAAAGCGAAAGCCTACCCGATCAACATCCTCTGCGCTCCCGGTTTCAAACAAGATCAGGCCCATCTCGGGGTGCTCGATCAATCCGGCGATCAGCATTAGGTCGCGGCGTTTGTTGGGCGGGTTAGGGTTGCTGGCGGAGCTGCCGTTGGCGCCGGTGAGGAGCCTTTGCTTGGTTAGAATAGATTCGAGGCATGGGGGGGGGGGGCGCAAAGGATGAGGTGGACGTACCATCCTTCGTCCACATTCATCGTCCCCAAATTGAGAATGTGCATCTTCGTCCCCGGGGGACAGGTGTAGGCGGGTAGGGCTGCGGCGGCGAGGTGCTGCATTTGCATTGGGGCGGTCATGGTTGATCTCCGTAGATTGTTGACGATGACGATGGTTGTGGCTATGATGATGATACGGCTGGTGCCCGGAACTGAAGACTTTACTTATACGATGCTATTGGCGACAGATTACAAAGATGGTTTTGTGATTAGTGATCTGGTGCGGGTGAGGTTGTTGATCGTGTCGCCGTATGGGTTGATTTGATGATTTCTCATCAGTCCTGCAAGACTTGTTTTCTGGAATGCGTGCGAGATTGCCATATCTAGTTTGTTTTATATACTTACTACACAGGACTCAGTCGGGATGAGGAGCGTCAGACCGGTTGCATTGTGGGTGGGCCAGACGACGCCGCCAAGCCGGCCACTATAGATACTGGATGACGCCTTCCAGTTGCCAGCCCAATGTCTGTCTGTCAGACAGATTACACGGTAGGGAATGGCTTGGCTTTCTTATCGCGCCATCTTATCATAACCACCCTGAAAGAAAGTGCCAAAATTCCGCTAATGTCGTACGGCAAGCTACTCGTGCCAATTTGCAATAACCCAATTTCCATAGTATTTCTCTATATAGTAAAGGGTAATATGTGTTCACCGCTTGACTGACCGTCTTCTCCTAAACTGATTCTAATATAAAAATTATATATAAGATTCCCTAATAAAGGACCCTAATGTAACAATACCTTCGGCCTAAAATACTCTAAGACCCTAATAGCCCTAATAATCCTAATGTAACTTATAATTGTGTTATTTTGTTTAAATTAGGCAGCTTGGAAGGCTAAAATAGTATTGTCGGCAGAATTGGGTTATTGCAAATTGGCACGAGTAGCCCACCGTAATGTCGGACCATTTCAATGCTGTTCTCTTTTTCTTTCTTCCTTTTTTTTTTTTTTTT